TCCGCACAAAAGCGGTGCTTCAGCTGAAAACAAATGGCAACTGGGAAAATCACTCGTATCTGGACTCTGAACGCACGGAACTCACAGAGGGAGGATCGCTTCCTCAAAACATTGAGCAGCATCTTGAAGCCTGCTCTAGACCCAACAAATGGATCCACGGCTAGCCAAGGCCTGTTCAGACGTTTTGGAAACCGATATTTTGGTTTGGAAGTACATGGATCGAGAATGGGAATTCTTTGGACGTATCCGACCTTTCAAAAGAAGTGTTAAGACGCCGTTGGCCCTTTTATTGAAAGACCACTCGACGACCATTTCAGTTGTTTGCACCATGAGGATACCCAACCGCTGAAATGGCAAGCACTTGGCCCGGAGGGAACCGCTTCACATGAAGAATGTAACTCCTTTTTTTCGAGGTGGAACCAAGCAAGCCCCCGCCGGTTCGTCTGCTAGTTCCTGTTCAGCCCTCCTGAAGCTGATAGCAGCAGGGCCAGCAAGGCCCCGACAAAAGGTAGTGCAGTCTCAGAGTGGCTTCGCCCTCGGCGGGCGTCCTCAGATGCTCGGAGTGGCAAGTCCACCAAGGTACAAGCTTGGCTAAAGCCCCCCAAATCTACACAGTCCCAAAAAACTCTTGTGGAGCTTCCCGAGCGGTTCTTACTGGAAATGAAACGCTTCCGGTGCCTGAACCGTTCATTTGGACCTGTCTACATTGCCAACATCAGTGTTCTGCTGGTGGACAAGGCCCCACCAACTCGGGCTTTGTCTTCTTGCCTCGTTTCCTTCTTTTGACTTTGATTCGTTTCCTTCTGTGTGTCTGTGGCAGCGCATGCCCCTTTCCCATTGCCGGGCTGCCCGGACAAGCTACATGACTGAACAGCACTCTTGCTGGGGAGGTTGTGGCTAGCTGAGTTGGATTGTTGGCGCCTAGCTGCCTCAGAATAAAGTCAACATGAGTCATGTTCCAATGGTGCCAACACTGGCAACTTGACAAAAAAGAGCTGCAGGCTTGAGGTGGCACTCAAGCAACTGTTGAGAGCACCGTTTCGCGCACACACGCCCCCGTCCCGCCTTCCCACCCACACCACCTTCACACAGCTCAATCCCAGTCGCCTCCCACCGCTTTCCACCCCCACAAACACGACCACCTCGAGCAACCCCCTCAACCACGTCGGCATCTCTCGCCACGCCCTCGCACACACCCACACAGTGATCGACCAACCTCCTCCCGGGACCATCGACAACGTGCTCCACCTGGACGGGATGGACGCGATGGACGTGATGTACACGACAATCGCGGACGTGAACATCGCTCGCGGGACTCACCACACCCCCGTTCCCATGGAAGCCATCGTGACCGTCGCTCTCATTCTCAAGCTTGCGACCGCAGTCGCGTGCGACAATCAACTCGGGAACGTGATCGTCCCCGAGACTCCCGTGACCGTTGACCACATGAACGTTGACAACATGATTCCGATCGTCGACAGCATGATTCAGATCGTCGACACGCTCCCACTAGACGCGACCGTCACCCTCTCCAATGCTGATGCTGAAGAACTTCGTTGTCCACCCCGCCCAACAGCAATTTCTACTGCAATCCCAATTCCACCGGTTTTTCAACCCCTTCCATTTCTACTTCCGGGGTTTGACCCATCCAACCAACCCCCACACCCTCCCACCTCTCCGGCCTCACTACCTCCATCACAACCACCCACACTTCTACCGGGAAAACACGACTTCCGAACCCACTGACACACCCATCACCCACGAGAACCAGGACCTCTCCATTTCCTTGTTTCCACGACGCCCCCCTGGCACTACCTGATGACCGAGCAAACCTGGCTCGTCCCTCCCACCAATCTCGATCTGAGCAACCTGTCACACCACCACAAGACCCGATCTGGAACATTCGTTGGGAGTCGCGCAGTACCAAGAGAATGGCAACATCCTCTACCTGGTTGGTGGCTTTCCGGAACTTCGCCTCAGCCCTGGTCCTCAGCAACATGTGTGGACCACCCCATTCTGGCGCCATGTCATCACCACCGGCTCTCAGAATTTGTGGCTCGCCATGTACAATCATGCATTTCAAGCTTGGGAACAACTACTGCAACTTATCGAGCCTCATCGTCAAGCTTTGGTTGATGATCTTGATCGTCCACTGAGTTGGGAAGAATGTCCGGCACCGCCCTCCGTGCCTCGAGGGTTGACCCTCAAGTGTCCTTATACTACCATTGTTATACAAAAAGTGTAACCAAGGGTGATGCCCCACTCAAAGTGGGGAGCGATGGCAGGCACTGTGAAGTGCGCGGTGACCAGAAATGCTTGGCTGCGGTTTGTTTATGTTTGTTCTTGTTTGGTTTTCCTGTGTTTTTTATTGATTTTATTAATAAAAAAGCATAAATTGCGATAAAAGCTTTATAGTTGATGCCTGTGACGCCAAAACCCTTCCAATCTAAAAAACTAGACGACAGGGTGGCCCGAAAGCAAGTAGGCGGAAGAGAACAAATAGAAGGGAAGAAAAGCGAAGTAACAGAAGATGAATGAGCACTAAAGAAATGAAGAGATGATATATGATGATTCAAAACATTAAGGATGATGATGATATATGATGATATATGAAGAGATGATATATATGTGGATGATAAGGATGATGATGATGATGATGATGCTGATGATGATGATGAAGGTGATGATGATGATGATGATAATGATGATGATGGTGCATGTCGCCAGGCACGGTTTACACCACACGTTGTTTACGCCAGACGAAGTAACCATGGAAAAGTTTACACCAGACAAAGCCGACAAAGGTTTACACCAGAGAAGAGTTTACACCAGACATCGATTACGCCAGACACCGTCTATACACCAGACACGGTTTACACCAGACGTCGTTTACACCAGACAAGGCCAACAAAGGTTTACACCAGAAAGAGTTTACAGCAGAGACAGTTTACACCAGACAGCGTTTACACCGGACATCGTTTACACCAGACAAAAAGGTCTTACCGCAGACGAGGTTTACACCAGACAAAACCGACAAAGGTTTACACCAGAAAGAGTTTACAGCAGAGACAGTTTACACCAGACAGCGTTTACACCAGACACCGTATACACCAGACGTCGTTTACACCAGACAAAGCCAACAAAGGTTTACACCAGAAAAAGTTTACACCATAGACAGTTTACACCAGACAGCGTTTACACCAGACACCGTTTACACCAGACATGGTTTACACCAGACATGGTGGAAACCATTGCAGCAGCAATTATAAGGCGATTAGCAACAAAAGATTGCAAAACACCACGTAACTACGCACTGAACGATGACACAGGAACACCTTCGAGCCAGAACTATAAGGCGAATAGCAACCAAAGCGTGTAAAACACCATGTAACTACGCACCAAACGATGACACAGGAACACCTTCGAGCCAGAACTATAAGGCGATTAGCAACCAAAGCTTGCAAAACACAATGTAACTACGCTCCGAGCGATGACACAGGAACACCTTCGAGCCAGAATTACAATGGGGGAACGCTCCGGGCACAGACTATGGAATCGCATTTCCCAATGAGTATGAAGTCCGCAGCGCACATTCGCGACATCCTTGCGACCAGAATTACAATGGGGGAACGATCCGGGCACAGACCGGGCACAGACCTTGGAATCGCATTTCCCAATGAGTATGCGGTCCGGACCGCACATTGGCGACATCCTTGTGACCAGAATTATAATGGTGCGCCCAGCCGCGCTCAGACAAAATGTACGTTTCACCACACGTTCGTGCACTCGACACGCACGATCTCCGCAGAGGGTTGCTCGAGGGCAAACCTTGAAACCAGAATTACAATGGGGAAACGCAAAATCGACAAAACCTTGTCACCAGAATTATAATGGCGGAACGCACCGCGCACACCAAAAATGTACGTTTCACCACACGTTCGCGCGATCGACACGCACGATCTCCGCAGAGGGTTGCTCACGGACAAACGCGATTCGCGTCTCACCACACGCGCGCGCGATCGATGGCCACGATTCCA